CCATCAAAACCGGGTGGCAGGGTTGGTGTCGTCATCGCGGTTGTGCCGAGGGTTGCTGGTACAGCGGGTGGTCCACCAGCGGGCGCTTCATCCATGACGTCATCGTGGACCTGCCCCTGTCGCCTCGCCTCGCGTCGCTGACGTCGGATGGCCCTCCGCCAGGCCCGCTCCTCTGCGCGCAACTCCACGGCCGTGTACGGCGGCTTGCCAGCATTGACGCGTCGGGCCACAATCGCGCTGGCTTCCACGAAGGGGGCGGAGGGCAGTACAGTGGCGTTGGGTTCCGTCTGAACCCCGAATTCCTTCCGCTCACGTGGGAAGGTCTCGGAGGCGCTTGACGGATGTGTAGCCGCGTATTCGCGGCGGGTCACGCCTCCACCCTCCACGCGCCAGCTTCGGTCATCGGAGTACGGTACAGCGATGTCCAGGCTCACATGTACTTGGCGGTAGTAGAAGCTCAGTTCCGCACCGCGCCAGGCATTGATCCGCCCCCCTTCGCGTTCGATCATCGCGGTGATGTGTTGACGGAATGCCTGAATCCCCATGCCGGCGTAAGGCCGATGCGGATGGGGATGCACCTGGAGCGCCCAGGGGCGGTACACGGCCTCCGGATCGTAGTCGGGGTTCCAGGCTGGCTTCTCTCCAGGCCCAGGCAGATGTCCTGACGTCAATTGCGTTGATTCCGTGCGCTCGTACGCCTCGCGCGCCTGCTCCTGGAGCTGATATCGTAATGCCTCCTCCCCATGCTCTCGTTGATGGTGCAGCCATTGTTCATCTTCGGCGCTGAACGGTAGGATCACCGTGAGCCCGAAGCTCCAATATCCTGGCGGGCAATCAGCTCGCTCGAGGTACCACCTCGAGAGCCAGAGATCGCCGAAGGCAAGCCACTGAGCGATGAGTATACGCCAGCTTTCGACTTGCCGAAAGCGCGCTGCGGTCATGGCTGCTGGGAAGGCGCCGAACAGCTGCTGGGGAGTGAGAGTGGAAGGCGGGGCTCGCTGTGCAGGACGGACAGAGTGCAGGAGAACGCCACTGTGCGCTTTTGCCGTTTTGGAGGTCTTGGATGGTGTTCGGATGTCGGACTGGTCGCTTGGCTGCTTGTGGGTGTGTGAAAGGATGTCGTGATCCTATGCTGGACGTCAAAGTTGGACAGAACCGTGGATGCTGATGCGTAGTCAGCCGCATAGGGCATGAAAACTGTACAATGGAGCTGATTCTGAAGTCGTAGTCGCTGAGCGGCTTGATCTTGTACAATTCTGGTCGGATTGTCGCTTCTTGAGCGCTTCTCATGCTGCCGCTGTCTTCAGATGTAATATGCTTTTGAGGATGTAACTAATGGTGGTCAGTCGATGCTGCTGGCAATATTGCCGGTAGATGCTGGGAAAATGAAGTTGATGGAGACATTTGCCATGTCATTTATGGCCTGGGAATGGCCAACTTTAACATGACCTATATTGTGGTTGATTGTTCTGTTGTATGGAAAACTCGTTCATTGCGTGCTTCTCGGAAATGTGGGGGAGCCTGTGAATTACTGCCCTCCAGTTTTCTAATGCAACTATGAATTCATCAATCGATCCAAAGCATGGGCCAGTTTCAAGGACCATGCCTCCGCACAGCAGTGCCACAGGCTCCATGCATCAATCGACAACACGTCATGAACAAAGGCAGGCAAGCAAGCGAGATGCGGATTCCCAATCGGAACTGTCGTACATACAGCTGCGTCCTCAACCCCAAGCCCCCGAGCACTAAGCGAAGCAGTGAGCGAAACACATAGCGCGGTACTCAGAGAAGGGCACAGCTCAATCCTGAGCGAAGAACTGACCGCCAATTGCAGTACTTGCAAGTCCTACGCTTCGATTCCGCTCCCCAGCCGACCTCGGACGATCCGTCCCGTCGTGGTGTCACCCTCCCATGACTCCACCCGTGCGCCTTCCCGCGCATCAACATGGCGACAAAATCCAGCAACCTGTCACCGATCTTCTTCATCGCCGTGGCGCGTCAAGCCACCGCCGACCAACGGCCACACCCCTTTGACCCACCGATCGCCGAGTTTCCGAATCCCCTGGGGAGCAAAAGCCGACGGCACAGGACCTTGCCGTACGTACTCGACACCGACAACATCCAGGGCGCCGAAAATGAAGGGGGCCTTGGCCGCAGCGGCGCTGGCCGCGTTCGGCTTTCTGCTCTGCGCATCGGGGGCGGCGGGTGAGAGCGGGGAAGGGGGGGGGGGGGCAGGCGCCCGCTTTTCCGCCGCTTGGATTTCTAGCCGCCTCGCAATTTGCGTCCAAGGGCCCGTACCCCGATGTGAAGGTTTGCACGGGAGCGTCCTCAGCGCGTGGGGCGCGCGCCTCGGCCGTGCGCAAATCAACGGCCTCGCGGGGCGTCAATCGAGAGGCGTGTTTGCCATGCGGTTTTTGGATCGCCGCGTGGTGGCCGACGGATTGCCCGTGCGGGGCGGCGCGGGCCGTCCTCGCCGGTCTTCGAAGGAGGGGGGGAGGCAGGGGCGCGCATGGGGCCAAGTGCGAGGGCTGAGAATGGATCGATGTGCGCTGTGGGCCATGTGGTGGCGGGCCCTCGCCGAAAGCCCGGTGACGGCCGATGATGCGGTGCCATGGGGAAGGTGTCGCTGGTCCGAGACTCGGGGGCGGGCCCAATGCGCAGGCCCATGGCCACCCCGTCCCGGACCTGTCCCTGGCGACCGATTTCGTGTCCATTCCCGCACAGGCTTTGGCCGTACTCAAGCCAATCTCCAGCTTGCTCGTTCCCCGTAGGGAGTATCGAAGCGCCTTTCGATTCCCCAGGAAATATCGCTGGCCCCAGTTAAGGAAGGGCTTCCGTTGTCTGAGCGTGCCCCTCAGCCACGCGCTGCAATCAATCATGGCGCCTGTGATTACCCTTTTCACTGGGAAAAAAAGGGCGAAATAACACTTTTGCGAACACACATAAAACACATTTCATCAAAGTTCTGCACGCTAAGAACAAAAAAACAACACAAACCCGTAAACTTTGTACACGTTTGAACACGTGTTATTTGGCCCTTTTTTTCCTAGTGTTTGTTGCAGAATGCAAAAGCCACAATCACGCGAACACCAAATCACATCTTGCAGCCTGAACGTCTGGCGAGGCGCGCGATCCTCTGGCTTCACGGATTTCTGGCGTACAGTCTGGAAGGGGAACTGAAACGTCTTGTCATCGGTGTTCATGACTTTAGGAATCTGATGGACCGACAATGCTGCTGACATCTCCCCACACGGAGCATGTTCTTGCTTTGTTGTTTTGCGTGTGAAGTGCACAGGGTTTGAAGCTGTTGTTTGGCCTGGGGCAGGTGATCGACGCGGCCTGAGACAGGCGCCAGGTGAGAATGGAAGGAAGAGTGACCAGAACCATTGTGAAATTTGAAGAATACGGATATTGAAAACATTGATGGTTGTTTCGCTCAGCACCAGCTTAGTTTCCTTGGTAATCGGGCGTTATGTTGTATCAGGTAGTGGATACAGAATTTGGTCTTGAAGACCGTCTTGCGCTTTGGCTCTTTGACCAGATGTGTTTGTTGCCGCTGATAATCCATGGGCCGATTCGCATAGTAGCTGTAGGCACTCAAGATGACCAACAGGCATTGATTTCTATTTCCATTCCAATCTAAAATTCGTGGTTCATAAAGCAAGCTGTACATGCAACAGTACATATCGTGCAGTGCACATATGTATAGCGGATCTTGAGAATTGTGGGCGCGAAAAAGGTGCGCCTTGTGTTTTATTTTTTACGTGGCACAGAATTGACTCTGTGGTCAACCACATGATGAACCGCACCCATTAATATTGTTAAACACATTGTGCATGGAACATAAATGCGCTAGAGTCCATTTGCGCATGTGCACGTACACAGAGTTGCGGAGTACACATGCTTTTTCGGATCTGGCAGGATCCAACCTGAATCGCACCCTATTTGTTGCGCGTTGCGCAGAGCTTTCCGCCACGAGCAACGGGTTGCGTCGAACTGGACAAACGCTGTTCGCATCCTTATTACATAAATGCGCACCATATGCTGCATAAGCTTTATTTTCGAATTTACCCAAATCCTTTTTGATTGCTGCCCCGTTACCATGCTTTTGGAAATAGAAATGCCCATCGCCCTATGCAAGGTGCAAGGACCCCGCTCGCCTTCGAAGACGCCTTTAGTTTACGCTTGGCTCACATTGAATTGGCATCATCGCAGGACTACTGCAGGGAACTCAATGGACAAAATCGTCCTGCGTTGCATTTCCTGAGATTTGGACAGACACTGAACGGCATTGGGACACATGTCCTTGACGTAAAGAATATAACAAAAGGCACATTTGATTCAACGCCCGTTTTCCACCCATCCCACAGAATACTGCGTGGGTGTCAACTAGGTGGTGAACAGCAACCCGGTGTGGTGTGTTGCACACCGTGCACTGAAGTAAATTGCAGCGTACCGTATCTTGTACCATGCATACCGTATGTGTAATTTCGATTCCGGCAACACCCATATTGAATCTGTCGGGGCAGATTATTGCGTCGGCTTCAACGAGGTGGTGAACAAGTTCTTCGCTGATGTATAACCAGCACAAAACCCACAATAAAGACGGCGGAAGCACACAAAAGCCACAGCAAAAACCACTATGGCATATGTACTGTGGATTTCATGCGTTTTAAGACATTCGTCTTTGGACTTTTGGTGTTGCAAGCGCATTCGATTCAGCGGCTCTTTCCTTCGCGTCGCGCAGAGTACTGCGTCGGCACCAACGAGGTGGTGAGCAGCAGCCCGGTGCGGTGAATTTGAAGCAAACTGTAGCTTGCCTTGTGCTGAACCGCATATGCCGTATGTTTTTTTCCGATTCCGGCAACATCCATCTTGAATCTGTTTGCTCAGAGTACTGCGTGGGGATCAACGAGGTGGTGAACAAGCCCGCAGACATCGGCGAACAGAAGGGGGTCGACTTCGTGGAGCTCAAGAACGAGTGCGACGAGCGCCAGGACATGACCGGATGGGTGATCAGCGACGAGGAGGGCAAGGAGTACGTCATGGGGGGGGAGGGCTGCGAGGGGGTGCACGTGGTCGAGGGCAAGGGCTACCTGGTGCTGTTCAGGGACGCCCAGTGCTCGTTCTCCTTCGGGTACAAGAAGAACGACCAGGTGAGGGTGCAGGGGCGTCGATTGCTGGGCAGATGCCCGATCTAATGTGGCAGTGTGCCAACGACTGTCTACAAAATGTGCCAATCTGTTGCACTGTATGTTATCACAGTTTGAATGCAGTTACTGGCAGATTTGATTTGATTATAGACCATGATCGTGTGCCAACAACTGCCGACAAAATGCGTCAATCTGTTGTACGAGAGAATGACGCAATTCGTGTGTATTTACTGGCAGATGATCACAATATAGAGATTTGATGGTATACCTTAGACATGATGCACTAGTAGAAAACAGCATGCTTGCGATGCCATTTTGAGACAAATTGATGCCATCACAGCCACCTTTTCTGCCATCGCAATCACTGTGATGGCATCATTTTGTGTAAAAGTGGCATCGCAGTTGGCATCGCAAATATGCCGTTTTCTACCAGTGATGCAATAGTTTGTATGTATCTATGTGTGACATTGCATATGCATGGTGATATTAATTTGTGTATATTTGTTGGCAGATGATTATGCATATAGACGTGATCATAACTCAACAGATGCGTATGTGTCAACGGACGTGCATCTGTTCAAATGAACAGATTGATGAATAGATTGCGACTAGTGGAATGATTGGTAGATAGATGTGCTGTTTAACTAATTGACTGATCGGCGGTCCGATCAAGCGGTTGGACTGATTGATTGGCGGCGTGCGCAACGCAGGCGGTGCTGAAGGACGCCAGCGGCCTCCAGCTGGACATTGCTCAGTGGTCCGAGGGCGACGCCGATGAAGGCTTCTCCTGGTCCAGGGTCCCCGACGGCAGCGGCGCCTTCCAAACCAGCCTGCCCACTCCGGGCGTCGAAAACGTCGCGGCCTGACGCCCCAAACGGCATTCGTTGTCGCCTGAAGCGGCAGCGAGGCGCCGGGGGGACAGACTACAGGCAACAGAAAGGTCTACTGTACTGCTGTAGTATCTGATTGTACTGCGCGCCGTGCGCGGTGTGCACATGCGGCCTGCCGATTGGTCTGCACAAGGGACCAGGACTGAAACCTTTGCAGCGGAAATGCGGCCTTGGTTGGGACGTGGCGTGTATTGCTGAGGTGCCGGACTGGCAGCGCGTTGCCTGAGAGGGTGGCGCTGGGCTGCGGATGGGCGGTGCAATGGTGTTCCATGGGGCCGATCGAGATTGCTCATGCCACCGAGAATGCCCGGTGTGTGTGTGGGGGGGGATAGTGGCCCAGGGAACTGTTTCCTAACCCAGTCCCGGCGGGTTAGGGAACGAGACACGGCGGTGGGGGGAGGGGGATGCTTTGGATGTGCAATTAGGCGGGCTGTCTGACATGCCGTCTAATTCCAAGGCTAGCATCACCTAAGCCAACAATTGGTTCAGATCGATGGCCTTCAACGTTCTTTGGATTCTGGAGGGCGGCAATAGGAATAAGCGGCAAAAGCCGCACGGGAACGGGATGTCCATCAGGCAGGTGTGGAAGCGCGCATTAGGTAGCTTCGTACAAGCTTCGCCCAGCGAATGGCATTTAGCCAACGGTCTGATCGTCGGTGGGAAATCGCGGCTGACCACACAGATTAACATCGGGATCTGAGACTATTGTGCACTCTCTGTGACCCTGTGCGAGATTGTGCGCATCTGGATTTGGGCTCATCTAGCCATTGATCGAAATTGCTCGCAGGAGCTGCCCCAAAGCAAAACAGGCGTTGTACTTTGGGACAGCTCTGCGATGTCGGTGCGGCAAATTGCTCAAGGCTCCATCACGGATATGTCCACAATTCTCACACAGCTGTTTCGCTGCCAATTGACGCCTTTCCCAGTCTGGCTCCAGCTCTTTCAGCGCTGCACACATTCGATAGTTCAGAAGGTCACTACAATAAACCCCCCAGTCAAAACCGCTGAACTCTGTCCGCCTACCAGACAAGAATCGCGCAAAATGAGAAAACAATTGGGCGATTTGGCCAAAGTCTGGACGGCAAAATCAGCAGCAGTACCATCCCCTGGAGGGAAATCACATTAAGCGGATCAACGGCCAGATCAAGCGGTCACGACTCAAACACACCAAACGCACGTCCATCAAACGCACGCCCCAAGCAAGATTCGACAGCAGGACCTAATCCTAGCTTATGTAAGCCTACAACTCCCGCTCAGAAATATTATACGCACCTGATTCAAGCCTACCAAAACACTTAGCCACGCAAGGGGAGTGCGCAACTGAGCCAAGCGGCCACAAACCCGGATAGCTTGCCCGTGACCTGTCCTACAACGCCACGATCTAATTTGTTGCCCACACAATCTTAAATTGGAAAAACCTATACAGCGCCAGCTAGGTTTGGTGGAGAATTAGGCGACAATGGGCCTCCTAGTCGTGTCCTGTCCCAAAATGCAATTCGGCTGCTAAGACTAGTTTAGGATTGGATGGAACCCGCCGCCTAGTCCGAGAGGGACAGCATGAAGGCCACACCGCGACGGATCCAGTGGTCCTGGTCCTGGTCCGACGGGATCTTCAAATCCATGACGAAGTTGGTGGAGTGGCCCGTGGTGGCCAGGACGCCGCGCCGCTCGGTGGTCCTGTAGAGAGGGCACATGTAGTGCGGGAACTGCCGGCTGCCGGCGTTGTCCGTCGGCAGGAACAACATCACGGGGGCGGGCGAGTACAGCACCTGGGAGGAGACAGCCCGCGCCGCTTCAGGGGAGTAAGGCCAGAGGAAAACGCCGAGTCGGCGATTCCCACTGATAATCATCGATGCCGCCGGAGATGCTCAGATGGCATCGAACCAGCTAGCCGGCCAACCAGCTGGCCAGCCAGCCAATCCGCACATCAATCAATCACTCCATCAACCAATGATCCAATCTGCCGGAAATTAAATCGGCAAGCCAACCATCGCTGACCAATCAATCAATCAATCAATCGACATTTGTGCAATGCGGTGCATCGCCCTGTTCCTCAATCAAGCGTCGCGGGTTCCTTGCTGAGCGTCAGCAAACTCACCGCAGTCAGACATTCTGAGGTGAACAGAGACCCTCGCCATGGACATTGTGTCGCTTTCCCCTTGCACTAATGGAAACTGTTTATGTCCATTAATGCAATTAGTGAAGGAAAGTTGCACTCATTCACTCATCCACTCAACACATGTGCACACATGCAGTGGTTCACAGGCGCTCCCACACCTTTGGCTCCGACTCTGCCAGCATCATGGTCTCGCTGTCCCATCGCGCGCCCTCCACATACATGCCCCTCACGTAAGCCCCGTCTTCCGGCTTCGTGTCGTACTCCCCCGGGGGAAGGCACACGTAATCGAATGCAACCGTGTCGATGGGCACCTGGGTAAGTGCACCGGGCGTAAGCTGCCAATAAAAGGTAAATTTCTTGCATTCAGGTTGGCCCTTATCTTTTGTTTTTGATTCCAAATATTACATGAAAGTTATTCGCTTGGCACTTGTTATTGCATGCTGGAGAAGGGATTGTGATCAGCGGCTTCCCCATCTCTCTCCACTTCAAAAGCGACACCACTGCAGTCTACGACGTACTTCTCACAACGTACAACCCAACGTATGTACTTCGCGTTTCGCAACGTACATACTTCTGAAAGAAGGCGCCAAACACGAAGTAGATTCTGCGCCACGGCTGTTGCTTCTGAAGCAACCGGTTCTGTAGGCACAAAGGATAAATGCACCAAAGCGCACGGGGAAGCGCAGAAATATCTACTATGCAACCTCAACTTAGAATTTCAAAAGGCTCACAAAGTTTTCTGACGCTTGCTTTCTGAATTTCAATTCGGGAAAGTGGTGTAGGGTTCAGTACTCTACAGTACTTCCTTGTACCTTTTTTTGCCTAAATCGAGATATTATTGGACAATCATGGCCATTTCTATTACAAATGGACATTAATTCTAAATGGAGATTAAGGGATATTTTAATGTCCTGCGGGTACTACCTTGTGCTTGCGCGCGAAGTTCTGCTTGACGCCTGTCAGGAACGCGTGCGTGAAAAAGAACCCCGAGATCCAGAACGTGGGCGGCGGTCCGTGATCGATCCAGTCCGCCAGCATGGAGAGGCGCTCTATGAGGTCGTTGACGTAGCTGCCCAGGGGCATGAGCGAGGGGTAGGACTTGCCCATCCAAAGGGAGGGCACCTTGCCGTCGAACATGGCGCTGCCGACCTGGGGCAGGGGCACGGGGCAGCATGAGGCAACTTCCAGTGCACAAGGCCGCTCAAGCTGCCAGGAGCTTTTCGGGGACATAAAACCGGCACAAGACCAAGGCGCTCTGCACAGGTGTTGTGCGCCTATTTCAAACGCAGCTCGATTTTGAATGCAAGTAACGGACTTACACTTAAAGGAAAACTATATTTAAGAAAATCAACAAACAGATTTAAAAGAAATGGCGGTCATCAGTTGACTTTTCCCGCCAATTAATGCATTTATCAGATCTCATCCAAAAAACCGCAACCTAAGGTAGTTTTCTTCCACATCAACGGCATTCGGAAACATCTGTATTAACAAAAGAGGAACCATGCGCGTCTGCTACTTGTCCTCAGGTCGGATGGAAACAGAGTTGCCAAGTAATTAGCCAATTAGCCAGCTCACTTTAATAATTTCAGGAATTAGTAATTCCAACTTCTTGTTTATTTAAGGCCAGGGAACGCCACCCACTTGTTCAAGATCCCCCGACATGACGACCAGGCCCAGCAGCGCCTTCTTCAGCGCCCTCAAGCTGCTGTGTATTACATGGATCAGCCTGTTGAACCGCACGATTTCCTGGCACAGCACCGTGTTCATGCTCTCGTAGTACTCCACGGGGTACTTGTACTGCACGGCCTCCACGTCAAAAGCCTCCGGAAGCCGGGTGTCAATGTCACCGGCCAGATCTGACAGGACCGACTCCCTGCTGATAGAGCCCCCCGAGGAGGAGCTGCCTGGAGGGGAGCGCGGTGCGCTAAGTACTGAATTCCATTTAGCGAAAGAAAATATGGGCGCAAGCATACCGTGTGGCAAGCCCAGTGACCGGGTTGGAAAGTGCTGCAAAGATTGCTGCCGAGCTGATTTTGTTACTAGCCCAGCGAAAGATGGACTCCAAGAAGCGGTTTCCTCGCCCTAAGTTTCCTGTTTGTTACCCAACGTCAGTGCAACTCTACGTTTTAGCAAATTCGATCAGCGTGGAGGCACGGCGCACTGCTGGTGCGCTAAGCGTTTTGGTCTTGCCTAGCTGGAGCTTCTGGCTCACGCGCATTGGCCATCTGTTCCACCAGTCAAGACAAGCGAACGGATCTCCGTCTCTGAGCAGCATTGGCAACAAGCAACACAGCAACGAACAAGCAACAATTAGAAACTGATTTTTAATTCGCTCTTGATTCAATAGATTCAATAGCATTTCTATTACGCTGATTTGTTTCTGCAAAGCAAAACCACGAAGAGAGAGACACAAACTGCCGCACTCAGGTCGGCCCCTTGCCCCATCCCCACCCCCAACCCTCACCCACCCTGCGTGGCCAGGATCGACGACAGCAGCGTGTCCGTCTCCTTCTGGTCTTTGGCGATGTCCGCGTTGGCGTGCAGCCCGAAGACGCCGGGGCTGGCCGTGATGGGCAGGCCGCGTATGAAGGCCAGGTAGTCCTCGTAGTCGCCCTCGGGCGGGGCGTAGTACGTGCCGGTGGGCTCGAAGGCGTGGCCCTCCTCGAAGATGTCCACCGTGTAGAAGATGCTGAGGATGGACATCAGGGAACGGCGGTCGTGGGCGTCCGTCACGCGGCCGCCGTAGTTGCACTCGCCCGTCAGGTACTTGAGGGCCTGGGACAAAACAACACTCCTTTGGAAGAAAAAGAGGTACAAGGCAAAGTACTGCACAGCACTTTGTTGTGCCGTTTTCTAA